AAAGCATATAGTAGTCGATACTCCCCATAGCACACACAGCAGATGCTCAGTTATTATTTGTTCAAATTTCTTGCACTCAAAGATGACAAGGTCAGCTTTCTCACTAGCTTGGTACTAAAGTCAGAAAGTTAGTACTTTCAAGTCAAGATAAAATAGAATGTCTTGCTTATACTGGAATGTAAATGCCAAAACAGAAGCTTAAGAATCATAGGCAGTCATGCAAAGTGACAGTCCCAGAACTCAAAAGTAGGTTGCAAGCCAATTAAAAAGCAATTTTAAATGAAAAGTTAAACATACCCAGCTCTGCCTCCCACCCTATTAACATCCTACTTCAGTCTGCAGAAGCTGTCATATTTATTAAGATGCAAGCTAAGAATGAAAGAAAAATATTTAAAAATGGGAGAGGTTAAAAATATATGCAATGGCCACACACTTATTTACAGAGTTGCCTTAATTCTGATGTAATCAATAGTATTTCTTTAATTTAAAAATTTATGATTGTCATAAGAGACCAAGCCAATTAGATTCATCATGTTATTCTCTGATAACAACACCCAGGGATCTTTGGCAAGACTGCCTTTCACAACATTAAATGAAACATGGTTAAGGTGGACTACAAACACCTCTTAATTCCCTTATAAACCATTCTGAATCAACCATTCAGGGACTTATCCAATCCTTTCTTCTTAATTAATATTTTTAATCTGTATTACTTCATTTGACAAGTCCTGTTACATAAAAGTAACACTGTGCCTCTCACTTTTTTTCTATTTTACAATTTGGTTAACAAGTCTGTTTACCTTTTCCACATCCTTCATTGTACAGTCTCTGTGCACATAACCCTCTCAACCTTGGACTTTTCACATAAGAGTCCAAAATCTTTATTTCTAATGTTCTTTTAATTCATTTCCATTGTCCTCCTCTAGACATTTTTCTAGTAGTTCTAGTCTTCCTTGAAGTTCAATGACCAGAACTGCACACACTCCAAGTGCGGACACATGAACCACTATTTTCTAAAGGGTCAGGAAAGGCTTTGTTGTTTTCATTTTTGTTTCTAATCATTTCCTGATGATACCCAGTATTTTGTAAATCTTTTCACTGTTTATTTTTGGTTTGTTTTTGCTAGGCAATGGGGTCAAGCGACTTGCCCAGGGTCACACAGCTAGTAAGTGTCAAGTGTCTGGTCTGAGACCAATTTGAGTTCAGGTCCTCCTGGCTCCAGGGCCAGTGCTCTATCCACTGTGTCACCTAGCTGCCCCAAATCTTTTCACTGTTAAGGCACACTACATGACACTCCATTCCTAGATTCTTCTCTTAGGTCACTGTCAAGAACTTACAGCTCACCTTGTAAATAGAATGTGAAGTATTTTTTCCCTTAATATATTCTTATACAAGTATATTCTCTCTCTCTCTCTCTCTCTCTCTCTCTCTCTCTCTCTCTCTCTCTCTCTCTCTCTCTCTCTCTTCTCTCTCTCACACACACACACACACACACACACACACTCACTCATTTGCCACTATATTGCCCACTCATACAGCCTTAGAGTGCTTCCTGGGGTTTATTTTATATTTGAAATTCTGAATGAATCTTTACAATTCATTCATAAATATTTTAACAAAAAGCATCCCAACTCAGAACTAGAATATAGCTCTCAAAAATGTCCATTTATCCTTACCAAATGATTTTCCTAACAATGATATTTCTCTAATCCAATCCCTATATTAGGGGTTCTTAATGTGGGATGCATGCAATTGTTTCTTAAAAATATTCTTGAGAATAGTATTTCGATATAATTGGTTTCTTTGGTACTCTTTCAGTATTTTACTTTATGCATTTAAAAGCATTATTCTAAAGAGTACAGAGGCTACACAAGATGGCCTAAGGGTCCAGGATATGAAAAAGATTAAGAATCTAGGTTGTTACACTTTACCAGCTCAGTAAAATTAACTAAAGGAAAAACCAAAACTTAACAAATGAAAACGTTTTCCTAAAGTTTCTCTTGGAAGGAAACAAAAGGTAAACCTAAAAGAGAGGGAAAAACGCAAGCATTTGAGGATTAATACATTCAGGTGGTTACTCCTAGAAACCTTTCATTTAAAATTCATGTTACATAGATTTATCTACTGAGAACTTGGGATAGTCATAAAGGGGCAGAAAGACCTGGCAACCTTATGATTTCTTACCCTGTTTGGTCCTACAAACTGAGGAGTTATGTGTGGGGTTATAGTTCTAAACACAGAGCCATTACTATAAATACATAAAAAAAGTACTATATATGCCGTTTTTGATGAATTTCATCTAGATCTGTTTTTAGATACTTTTGGAAATGTAAGTTCCCAGACTATTTAGCATCTGATGAGAAATGCTAACAGAAACCACTACGCAGTTAAAAAGCAAACGAGAGGCTACTCAATGGCAATATAAAGACAAATAATTAGATCCATCTTTCAGAAAAATCATTGTTTCTTTGAAAACAGGTCAGTTTTAAACATCACTTCCAGTAATTTTCAAAAAAATCTATCAAAAAAGAGGGTGCTTAGTTAAAAGCAATGCATGTCACTTTGGTGCCACCACACTAAACCAATGCGACACTTAAGTCACTTAACACAGCAAACCTCAATCTAAAAAGTGAACACCCCCCTTCCCATGCAGGTTTCCAAAAGAACTGAATTACACCACACAACCCAGAATTAACTGTGGGCAACGCTAAACACAACATTAGAGCTAAAAATGTCTCATTACGTCAAATGAGATATAAACTTGACTGATTTGGATGCCGACAATTTCTTTCTTTCTTTTTTTTAAAGTCGGGAGCGATTTCAAGATAAGAGAACAAAGAAAGGCAAATCACTTCTTTTCCAAGTCTCCTTTCGATGCTTAAGGTTGCCAAACAATGTTCCCAGCCCTGAAAGTTCAGGATTTTAACGTATTCAATAAATCTATTTATCAGAAGAAAAGCTTATTAAAAGAATACCACAACTAGAAGCTAACACAAAGCAGGTGGGTTGTGGTGATTTGGAGAAATCAGAGCTACCAGGTGATTGGACAGTGCTGATCAGAGAAAGGACAGTGTTTAGTATACACAGAACAAAGACTGGCATTTCCATTCTCTAATCAGTTCTCAGACAACCAGAAAAAACACACAACGACCACACGCTCTTCCAACGAGAAGCTGGTAAGCAACTACTCTCCATCCCGTTTCCTCTAGGAAAAAGGAATAAAGAACGCCTAGCACCCCTTCCCCGCCCTTTCCATTCCCCCAGGGCTGTCGCCGTTCACAGATTCTCGAGTGGAGAACGAGACGATCCCACGCCGTTAAACAACCGGGGGGGGGGGTGGCGCAGCCGAAAGAAGCAGCCCAGGCTCCCTTGCCCCCCCCGGCAGGCTCCGGCTCCAAAGCCGACGCGAGGGGCAGCAGAGGCCCGGGGCTCCAGGAGCAGCCCCACCCCGCAGGCGCCCCCGGCCTCGCCCCGCCCCCTGCCCCTCCCACTTCACACCGCCTCTTTCCCTCGGGCCAGGGCCCACACGCCGCAGCCGCCTTGGGAGCGCTCGGCAGCCCGCTGACCCTCGGGCCGTCGGTCAGTCAGTCAAAAGACACCGAGTTAGCGCCTTCGAGGCGCTGGGCACCGGCTGCGACCGGAGATCCTCTTAGTGGCACAAAGGCAGGACCCCGGGGCTAAAAAGGGACTTTCTTCGCCCCGCCCCTCATTTTAGTGACGGGGAAACTGAGGCCCTCAGGCATCTTGTCCCCCACCACCGCTAGTTTAACAGACGGCGAAACTGAGGTCTCGCCTTCCCTTTTCAGAACTGTGACCTAATGGTGACGTTTCCCCAGGGCCAGCCCTCCCACGGGGGTTCGCAGGTCTCTCCGCGGTGGCCACTCGGGCCCCTTCCGTTACAGCCGCGGGAAGCCAGGCGGCCACCAAACCTCCCTCCCCGGCTTGGGCCCGGGCCCCCTCCCGGTTCGCCGGCTCACCTGCGGCCAGCAGCTGCATGGCGTGGGTGAAAGATGGGTCGAGGGAGTCCTTCTCTGCCATGAGCTCAGGCAGGTATTTGTTCTCAGGCTCCATCTTGGCGGCGGCCGTGGCGGAGGGCGGCAGCAGCGGGGTCGGGGCCGGCGCCGGGCCGCCCCCGCCCACTTCGGGGCCCCCGCCAGTGGCCGAGGGCGGCAGCAGCGGCGGCGGCTGCGTGGCTGGCGCGGCCCGAGAGCCTCCGCCGCCGCCCCGAGGGCCTCCGCCGCCGCCCCGGGGCCGGTGAGAGGGCAGCGGCTGCCGGGACTGCGCCTGGCGCGGCGGCGGGTGGGCGCCTGAGGGATCCACGGCGCCGCCGCGGCCCAGGGGCCGGCACAGCCGCGCGACGGGTCGTCCCGGCGCTGCATGAGTGCGGAGCGGGCGGGAGGGCGGCTGAGGGACGGAGCGCGGCGGCGGAGGCCCGCGCAACGGCAGCGGTTTGACGGAGGCGGGAGAACGGACGCGAAGGCGGCCGGAGCGGACCAGAGCGACCCAACGACAGAGCTACCCGAAGAGAGAGCGAAAGAGATCACCGGAAGTGTGCGAATGCGCACGCGCGGCCCGCCACCGGCGCCGCCCTGCTCCCGGAGCCGAGAACAAAGTCCCCGTCTCTGCCACGGCGCTTGCGCACCACCTCCGGCGCGCACCTTGTTAAGTTCCAGCCCCTCACGTTGACGGCCTCCACAGACTAGCCAGCGGAGGAGGAGGGCTCGCGGAGGCTGCCTAAGGCCAGTACGCACGCGCTAGCTCCCTGTAACACGTGACCAGGTTGTAGTGCGGCCACGTGTCTCCACCCCCTGCGGGCGGGCAGCGGGCTGGGGCGGGGGCTGTGGAATGTCTTTGTCTGAACGCTGCCCCGCGGGCTCGGGGAGAGTTTGATTCTCTTCAGTTTGGAGCCCCGCCCCTTTCTAACAGTCCCTGAGGGAAGGGATTGTGGAAGATAGAGAGGTGCCTAAAGAAGAGGGGGAAATTAAGGCCCTGCGGGGGAGTATGGGGGAGGGGAAGAGGTTAAGGGAGGAAGTTGAAAGGGAGAGGAGGGATGGAGTAAGGAGTGAGGCTTTGGGAGAAGGTGACGGGGACGAAACTAACTCTGCACCGGCTCCTTTCCAGCCTAGGCTAGCTGGCCGGAGACCTAGCTGGCTGCTCTGGCTCAGGCTCAGCAAGTCAAGTTAATAAATGACCATTAAGTGCCTACTATGTGGCAGGCGCTGGGGGGAGGGGGTGATAAAAGAAGGGCGAAAACCCAGTCTTTGCCCTCAAGGAGCTCACAGTGTAACGAGGGAGACCGCATGCAAACAAGTAGGACAAACGAGATAGGCACAGGACAAATAAGGACTAACAAAAGGGAAGGGACTTCTTGTAGAAAGTGAGATTTTGGATGAGACTTGAAAGAAGAACCAGGAGACGGAAGTGAGCAGGGGCAAACGCTTCCCCCCAGCTCCTGCACGAACCCTGAGAAAGGGGCTTTCCTAGAGGTGGTGGTGAAGCCAGGGGAACCACTGGGATTATTTTTCCTACTTCATCTGCCTCGAATTACAGGTAACCCCCCAAACCATCACTCCAGCTTTAACCCAACCCGGTGAATAACAAGGAGGTCCTAAGGCCTACGGAGCAGCGGCAGAGGTGGCCTCCAACTGCTAGACAAGGGACTTTCTGAAGGAAAGCTGTAGTCATCCTCTGCCTGGAGCTCACAGACTTTGCAGTATTTGGGGAGTGGCAACACGGGGGTGGGGGAGAAGCAAGTACCATTAAAAGCATGCTTGGCGTCTATTATGTGTACATTCAATTGAACAGATACTAAGAGGCCTGAATTTGGAATCCATGGACCTGATTTTGAATCTGGACTTTGCTCTTAAGAACTTAGACAAATCGCCCGTCAAGGGTATCCTCAGCTACGGACTAAATAACCTTTAAAGTGGCTTTCACCTGTAAGTCCATCCTCAGACTTCTCTTTCCCAGGCTAAAAAATCCCCTAGTTTCTACAACTGATCCTCGTGTTTAGTGGTCCTCCATCAATCGTGGTTACATCCTCAGCATGTGTCCAACTTAGCAATATCCATTTATTAACTAGAATGGGGCGTCCAGGTCTAAACACAGCTCTCTAGATATGCTGTGACAAGACCAATTACAGAGGTGCTATTGCCTCCCTAGTTCTGGGCACTGTACTTCTCTTATTGGAGCCCGAGATCACATGAAGCGTTCTTGGATGGAATATCATCACTTTGTTAACTCTATTGAGCTTTCAATCCACTAAAACTCCCAAATCTTTTTGAAAAAAGTCTTATCTATCTGATAGCCTGTCTAACCAAGACTTCTTCCAAATTGTTTTTGTGAGGTTGATTTTTGGGGCCCAAACATATAACTTTATTCCCATTAAATTTCATTTTATGGGATAAGGCCTAGTGTTTGGTGGTGGTTTTTTTTTAAATGATAACTGGGTTTTAATACAAACAAGTGCTAGAATTCGTGTCCCTTTCAGGAAGTTTCTTCTCAGAATCTCTTTTTTAATCCAGTCACTGAGTATTTTTAAAAAATGTTTTTATTAATTTATTTTATCAACAATCACTTCCATAAGCTTATGAGTTTTAAATTTTTCTCCCCCTCCCTCCCTACCTCCCTCCCCAAGACGGCACACAATCTAATATAGGCTATACATATACATTCCTATTAAACATATTTTCACATTAGTGATGTTGTAAGTAAGGATTAGAACTAAAGGCAGCTAGGTGGCGCAGTGGATAGAGCACTGGCCCTGAAGTCAGGAGGACCTGAGTTCATATCCGACTTTGACCAAACACTTGAGACTTACTAGCTATGTGACCTTGGGCAAGTCACTTAACCCCAATTGCCTAAAAAAAAAATAAGTTACAAGTGGCATCTTCCCTTGTCCGAATATAAACAGTTTGCCCTCATTAACAACATATTGTATCTTTCTGTCCCATTTACCTTTTTATGTCTCTTTTTTAATTTTTTAATTTTATTAATTTATTTTGATTTATCAACAATCACTTCCATATGCTTTTGAGTTTAAAATTTTTCTCCCCCTCCCTCCCTACCTCCCTGCCCAAGACGGTGCACAATCTGATATAAGCTATACATTTACATTCCTATTAAACATATTTTCACATTAGTGAAGTTGTAAGTAAAAATTAAAACCAATAGGAGGAACCATCAGAAAGAGGAAACAAAACTCGACAGAAGAGAAAAAAAAAGATAGCGATTCAACTTCCATAGTTCTTTCTTTGGATGTGGATAGCATTTTCCATCACGAAGCCTTTGGAGATGTCTTAGATCCTTGTAATGCTGAGAAGGGTTAAGTTTATCAATATTAGTCTTCGCACAATGTGGCTGTTATTGTGTACAAACTTCTCTTGGTTCTGCTCACTTCACTCAGCATCAGACCAATACAAGTCTTTCCAGGTTTTTCTGAAGTCAGCGTGTTCATTTATTTCTTATAGCACAATAGTATTCCATTACATTTATATACCACAACTTGCTCAGCCATTCCCCAATTGATGGGCATCCTCTCAATTTCCAATTCTTTGCCACCATATAAAAAGAGCTGCTATAAATATTTTTGTACATGTGGGTCCTTTTCCCATTTGTATGATCTCTTTGGGATATAGCCCTAGAAGTGCTATTGCTGGATCAAAGGGTATGCACATTTTTATAGCCCTTTGGGCATGGTTCCAAATTGTTCTCCAAAATGGTTGGATCATTTCACAACTCCATCAACAATGCATTAGTATTCCAATTTTCCCACATCTTCTCCAACATTTATCATTTTCCTGTTTCGTCATATTGGCCAATCTAATAGGTGTAATGTGGTACCTCAGAGTTGTTTTGATTTGCATTTCTCTAATTGATAATGATTTAGAGCATTTTTTCATATGACTATAGATGGCTTTAATTTCTTCATCTGAGAACTGTCTGTTCATATCTTTGACCATTTATCAATTGGGGAGTGGCATATGTCTCTCTTGTATTTGAAAATCAGATTTGCTGCTGAGCTCTGGTCTTTTTATCAGGAAGGAATGGAAGTCCTCTCTTTTGTTGAATATCCGTCTCCTCCCCTGAAAGATCATCGCTGAGTCAGTCATTGAGTGTCTTCACTACCCCTGCCAGCTTTCTGTTAATCTGCACATTTGATAAGTATATCAGCTGTGCCTTTATCTCAGTCTTGGGTAAAAATGTTAAACAGCAGAGGGCTAAGCCCAGAATTCTGCAACAGGGCACTGCAGGCCTTCTAAATAAATTGACATTAACCCATTAATGACTGCTTCTTTGGTCTGGCCAACAGGCACTGAATCTATACAATTATACTATTACCTAGTCAATATTTTATTTTGTTCCACAGAATGCCATAAGACTTCCAGCATTCTGCTAAAATCTAGCTACCTTGTCTACAACATTCACCCAATCTACCAATCTAGTTACCCTGTCAGGGAAAAGAAAGAAAGCAAGTAAAATTAGATTGGCATGACTTGTTCTTGATCCTTTTTCTAGATGTTCACAAGCCATCCCTTTAATATGTTTGGAATTTTGCCAGGAAATGAAATCAAGGTCACTGACCTTTAGTATCTAAACTGCACATTTTCTTCCCTTATTTGAAAATCAAGAAAACATTCGCAAATCTCTAGTTCCCCAGCAAATTTCCCATTCTTCATAATCTTTCAAAGATCACAGAATGGCTAGACAATGACATGGACCAGTTCTTCCAGTACCCTAGAATACATCCAGGATTAGTGACTTACACTTATCAAAGGCAGCTGAGTACCTTCTTACACTCTCTTTACTTGGGTGTCAACTCATTATTACCCTAAAAGGAGTAATTATTATCCACATGGACAACATGATGTTAACAGCAGAGAGGAAGAAAAATAACAATTCATATTTTGCTTTTTTGTTTTTCTGAGAAAGACAAAGATCGATGGGAAAGGTCAGAACAAAAATGGCCACTAGAATTTGATGCCCAAGATAAAGCAAAGAGATGATCAGAGAATACCTTGTTGTCCTTGATGAATTCATATTACCAGGCCCAGACAAACTTAATTGTAGGGTAATGAAAATTCTAAAAGATATGATTGTTGATCTTTGAAAGTCCCTCAGGCCATATTAAGATAGACATAGTATCCAGTACTAGAGGAGTGATGGTCCCGCTGTACTCTAACCTGATTGGTGGTCGTGTAAAGGATTTAGGGGGTACGTTACAGGCACCTTCAGTATTTTAAGGACTACCCTAGGAAATTAGACTTTTTTTCCTGCTTGCCCCCAAAGGGCAGAGCTAATAATAAGTTGGCATTTATATTAGTGCCTTCTTGTCTTTAAATTTTATAATTTCATCTTCGCAATAACCTAGGGAAGCTCCATCATTATCCTCATTTTATAAATGAGGAAACTGAGGTAGGCGGAGGGTAAAGGATTTATCCAGGGTCACATGGTCACATAATAAGTGCCAGAGGTCAAACTAGAACTTGGGGTCTTCCTGACTCCAAGTTTAGCCAAATAACTAGTAACACTCTAATCACTGAGCCCATCTTGGAGTAATGGATGGAAGTTGCAAAGACATAGTTGGGCTCAATGGAAAGGATAAACTTCCTGACGGTCACCACTGTCCCAAAGTGGAATGGGCTGCCTTGAGAGGAAGTGGGCTCCTCACTGGTGGTCTCCAGGCAAAGGCTGGATGGCTTGCTTGTTAGGTATGTTGTAAAGAAGATTCTTTTTTTTTTAATTTTTTTATTAATTTATCTTGATTTATCAACAATCACTTCCATAAGCTTTTGAGTTTTAAATTTTCCTCCCCCTCCCTCCCCAAGACAGCATGCAATCTTTTATAGGCTTTACATATACATTCCTATTAAACATATTTTCACATTGGTGATGTTGTAAGAATTAGAACCTAGGAGGAACCACCAGAAAGAGGAAACAAAACACAACAGAAGAAAAAAAAATGGCAAATAGTATGCTTTCATATGCATTCAAACTCCATAGTTCTTTCTCTGAATGTGGATAGCATTTTCCATCAATGAGGCTTTTGGGGATGTCTTAGATCCTCGCATTGCTAAGAAGGACTAAGTCTATCAATATTGGTCGTCTCACTTTGTGGCTGTTATGTGTACAACAGGATATCAGGAAGTAATGCCAAGACTTACAAGGGAATTGGATTTAAGTGAGGGAGGGCTGTGCAAGGTCACCAGCCTCACTTTCTCCTCAGGAGCCATCTAGGTCTAATGGTAAGACATAGATTAGGACAACTGGAGATGGCCCTGGATGTAGTGGGAGACCTTGGCCTTTTTTACTGTTAAGGTCTTTCCGAGTTCTCACTTTGACTGAGGCAGCTTCTATCCAGTGATTAAGACTAGGTAAGAAATGAGCTAAGGAATGGCCTCTTTTACCTAATTTTTAGAAAAAATCAATCTGGGGGGAGCCTCAGGGTTTCTGACCAAAACAGAAAAAATTACTATTTACATTCGCTCTAAACCATCAGGCCTAAACAATGACCATTAAGTGGGGCTTGGGCTGATACTTACTGTTGGCCAATCAATGAGAGCCAGAGTGAAATGGGTTTAAGGCAAGGTTTTTAAGAAAGGTAAACCCCAAGATATCTTGCTAGGTTTCAGCCATCAAAATTTACATTCTTTTGGGCAGAGTATCTGCAGGTAAGGGTATGATATGCTATGTGGACAGAGGGGGAGGAAGGAGGGAAGGGAAGAAAGGAGCTGCATTGCCCAGCTGGAACTGGCCAATTGGGTCCCCAGTAGGGCAGCTCAGACTACTGACAAATTGTTCTTTGTTTGTCCTTTGTTCTAGAAGAGGACCATGACATCAGGAAGGTGATGCCATGACTTGCAAGTGAAATGGATTTAAGGGAGGGAGGGCTGTGCAAAGTCACCAGCCTCACTTTCTTCTCCAGCGCCGTCTGGGTCCGGTGGCCAGATATGGATCAAGACGATTGGAGATGGCCCGAGGTAGAGAAGGAGACAAGCAGGAAATATATCTAACCTGGCATCTGATTTATATTGCTGCCCTTGGAAGAGCTTGCCTTTGCTGGTGTCCTGTAAGACTGAAATGTCCTTGCTATGTAATGAGATGCCTAGATTCAAGTTCCTTGAGCTTTACCTGAGGTTAGTAAAACTTTGATAGAAGATTGTGTCAGAAGTAGGTGGGGGCTGTTGTTTCTGCTGGACCAGAAGTTAGGATTTCTTTTGAAGGCCGACTGTCAAATTCCACAAGCTTTCTTTCAGCAAACATCTTTAAGCTATTTCTAGGCACAAGACACTCTGCTAGGCACCAGGGATTTAAAGATAAACATTAAATAATTCCTGTACTCTAAAGAACAGAACAGGTATACAGATTAATTATGATGCAGGGAGGGAATCTGAGTTTCACCAAGGGAGACAGGGAAAGATCAGACAGTGTGTTCTGGGAAAATGTGAAGAAGAGATGAAAGTGGAGGAGGACGTTGGAGATCAGGGAATACTTCATGAAGGAAGTGGTACCTGAGCTGAGCCTTGAAAGAAAGAAGGATTCTAAAAAGTACAGATACTGGGAGTTCATTCCAGGGATGGGAGATGGCTGGAATTCAGGCAAGAAATGTAATGTGAGGGTCGGTAAAACAGCTAATAGACTAGTGTGATTGGACTGTGGAATGAAGGAGAGTAATATGAAATAAGGCTAGCAAGGTAGGTTGGCCTAAAGAATCTGTATGTTACACTAGAGACAACAAAAAGCCACCTAAGATTTGTGAGTAGGCTAGCAACATGGTCAGATATGTATGTGCCTTAGGAAGATTGTTTAGGCAGCTATGGGAAGGGTGGGTTGGAGAGGGGAAGAGACTGGAGACAAGGAGACCAATTAGAAGGCTGGTTCTGTGGTCCAAGGGAGAGCTGATGAAGAACTGAAGGAAGGAGGTGGCTGTGGGAGTGGAGAGAAGGGGGATGAATGCAAGTGATGCTTCGGCCTTGGCCATTGATTGGATGGAGGGGTGGTGGTAAGGAGAGGGAAGAGCCAGAAGTAAAATAAGCGGTAGCAAATCTGGCATCCTCCCAGTCATGCCCTGGAGAGAAAGATGAACATTTGAAACACGGAAGGGTGTAGGGGGCAAAGTGGTAAGTTTCATTTTAGTCATGTTGGGTTTGAGATGCCAATAGGACATTCAGGTGGAGATGTCCAGCAGGCATTTAAAGTCCTGGTGCAGTCACTTATGAGCTACGTGACCCATGGCAAATCACTGATCCTTGGTCTGCCTCAGTTTCCTCGTCTATAAAATGGAAAGAATAATAGCACTGTATCTTACAGGATTGTTATGAAGATGAAATGAGATTATATTTATAAAGCATTTTTGAAGCCTTAAGCACTATGTATAAATGATGCCTATAGTTCTAACTTCAGTTTCTTCATCTATAAAATGCCACTCATGCCACCTGCCTCTCAGAGTTGTGAGGAAAGGGCTTTGCCAACCTTAAAGCACTCTGCCACTGTGAGTTATTATTATTGCATAGATTTGGTAATACTCTGTGTTGAGGGCTTACACTGATGGGTTTGAGGATATAGGTCATGTCGGGATGTTCCTGTTCCTGTCCATTATCTAAGAGCCGTCTAGGTCAGAACGTAGGCTCTCCGACCTCTTCCGGACGCTGTCTGTCCCTTGAGAGGATGAAGGATTTTTCAATAAACCTTGAAAGATAATCGGGAAGTGAGGAGACGATTCCGGGGGGATACTCCCCCCAGTTACTATTTCCATGAGAAGAATTAATTGTTGATACTTGGTTTTTTCCATTCTTGATTCTGTTCCCACGAATGGGGTATAAAAACCCTAACTCTGAGATCAATAAACGGAGCTTGTTTATAACTTGCTACCCCCTGGTCCGCATTTCTCTCTCTCTCTCTCTCTCTCTCTCTCTCTCTCTCTCTCTGTCTGTCTGTCTTTCCTTCTTTCTTTTTCACTCTTTGCAGCCTCACTGGAGATAACTTGGTAGTGGACTCAGAAGTCTGCTACAAGTCTGCATAGAGATAACACCTGAACCTATGGGAAGCACATGAGTTCCCCAAGGCTGAGATTGGTTAAAAAAGAAGAGAAGTGAGCTCATCTTAGAGCCTTGGAGGACATCCAGGCTAAAATGAGCAGAAACATGCAGATAGATAGGAGGAGAACCAGGGAGGGCAAGGTTACAACTGGGAATGGTGGGGAGAGAGCATTCCAAAGGAAGAGGTAGGTGGTTAACTGTGAAACACTGAAGAAAGGTCACAAGGTGGATTTAGCAGTTAAGAGATCATTGGATAACCTTTGAGAAGGCAGTTTGTTTCAGTAGAGTCCAGGGGCTAGAAACCAGATTGTAAGAGGTGGTAAAGGGAACAGTTGAAGTGCAGACAGCCTGCAGAGGTGACTCATTCTAGGAGCTTGTCGGTGAAAGGGAAGAAAGCTAGAGGATGACAGTTTGAGGGGATGGCAGAGCCACCCATCTATAGAAAGCACTCTACAAACTGTAAAACTGTATAGCTCTTGGCTATTATTATTGTCTCGTTCTCATCTTTTTTTAAAGATTTTAATAGTATTTTTTCCCAACTACATACTAAGAAACCTTTTTAACATTCATTTTTGCAAGATTTTGGGTTCCAAATTTTTCTCCCTTTCTCCCTCCCCTCCCCTTTTCTGAAAATGGTAGGCAGTTTGATATAGTTTATATGTGTGCTATCATATAAAACATTTTACCATATTTGTGGAAAGAAGAAACAGATCAAAATAAAACCATGTTGTTCTCATCTTTTTTTTTAATGGAACTCAGAAAGAAGTGGTCCCAGGTCCAGTTGCTACGTGCTCTTCTTTTGTCTTTAATGTTCAGAAGACTGTTGGGCAGGTGGGTAAAGTGAATGCTTTTTTGTAATTGAATAAAAGTGTATGTGACGTTGGCAAGTCATTGAACCTCTCGATGTTTGTCTCAATTTCCTCATCTGTAAAATGGGAATAATAGTAGCACTTGCCTCTCAGGGCTGTGAAGAACAAATAAGATGATATTTGTGACCCTTGGCAAGTCACTGAACTGCTGTCTGCCTCAGTTTCTTCTCCTGTAAAATGGGAATAATAGTAGCACTTACCTCTCAGGGCTGTGAAGATCAAATGAAATGGTATTCCTAACAGCGCTTTGCAAACCTTAAAGTGCTATGTAGATGCTTGCTTTGTTTGGTAAGATCTGTAGGCTTACTGAAAGCGTCTTTGGGACAACTCTAGTAGCAAACAAGACAATGGTAAGTGGTATGTGCTTCATTGTTTTTATTTCTTCTACTAGGTCTCTATATTTTTTTCTTCTTTTCTCTTTTTTAAAATTAATTTTTTGTCAATCAGTACTTCTTGTCTACCTTCTCTCCCTACATGCTCTCCCTTCTACACATCGAGAAAGCAAGAAAAACAAAACCCCTGTTAACAAACATGTGTAACCAAGCAGAACAAATCCTCCTCTTCCTTCCACTCTAAGCCATATCCAAAAATCATATGCACTCTGAGTCAATCACCTCTCTCTCCAGAGGTGAGGAGAATGTTTCATTATGAGGCCCTCTGGAACCAGGGCTGATCATTGCGTTGATCAGAGTTCCTAATTTTTCAGAGTTGTTTGTCTTTACAATATTATTGTTATTATATAAATTGTTCTAGTTCTGCTCGTTTCACTCTGAATCAGTTTATACAAGTCTTCCTAGCTTTCTCTGAAATCATCCCCTTCATTATTTCTTATAGCACAACAATATTCCATCACATTCATATACTATAATTTGTTCAGCCATTCCTCAATTGATGGACATCCAATTCTTTACATCACAAGAAGAAAGCCTGGAAATATTTTTGTACATATAGGTCCTTTTCTTCTTTCTTTGATCTCTTTGTGGTATGATGGTGATATCACTGGGTTAAAAGGCATGCATATTTTAATAACTTTTTGAACATAGTTACAAATTGCTTTCCTGAATGGGTAGACCAGTTCACAGCTCCACCAACAGTGCTTGATGATGCCTATTTTCTCACAGCCCCACTAGCACCTTATTTTATTTTATAAATTTTTTTGGTCAACTTTGCCAAGGGTTTGAGGTGGAATCTCAAGGTTGTTTTAGTGCTCATTTCTCTAGTTGTTAGTAATTTAGAACATTTTTTGAGGGGGTAGGCAGTAGGGTTAAGTGACTTGCTCAAGGTCACACAGCTAGTAAGTGTCAAGTGTCTGAGGCCGGATTTGAACTCAGGTCCACTTGACTTCAGGGCCAGTGCTCTATCCACGCGCCACCTAGTTGCCCTAGTTCTCTGTATTTTAAAAGCTCTTCATTTAACCGGGTGAATGAATGAATGAAAAAAAGAACATATTAAGCACTTACTGTGTGCTCTAAAACTTGGAGATTATGAATGTTTGGCTTGGTGGGGTCTCCTAAAAATGTCGGTCTTGAATTTTTATGAGTCAATGTAAATGTTATGTCCAAGTGATTGTGGGTAACACTTTTACTGTTAAAGTTCCAGTTCTGTTAATTTGTTAGTTTGCCAGGATGTTTTGGGGGTCCATATTTGTAATACATGGATTTATCATGTTAGTTTATGAAAAATAGGGAACTCACAGTGTTCTGGTCATCTGATGATGAAGATGATGACAATGATGATGATTATGAGGAGGGTGGGTGGATGAGAAAGACCTGAAATTTGTAGACAGCAGGTGAAGATTGAGTAGACAAGGAAAGATTCACAATGAGAGAAATGGGGAATGATTAAAGGAGGAAGTGTAGTTCCCAGAGGAGAAGAAATCCGAGGCCCAAGGAGAAAAATTAGCAAGGTGAAGGGCTACCTCATCTTCTGAGACTGATGGCAAGGAGCAGAAGACAAGTAAAGGTGAAGAGAGGTTTTGTGGAGTGGAGGGAGCTCATGATATTCATGAGGCAATCAGGTGATACAGTGGATAGAGCTCTGCACCTAGAGGTCAGGAAGACCTGAGTTCAAATCTTCCCTTTGTGTGCTTCAGTTTCCTCATCTGTAAAATGGGGATAATAATGGCACCTACCTCCCAGGGTGGTTGTGAGGATCAAAGGAGATAATGCTTTGCCAACTTTAAAGCACTATATAAATGCTAGTGATACTACCTCTTTTTTCTTAGTAAAGTAGGATATGAGGTCAACTAAGAGAATTTGCGTGGGGGGGAAGAGTTGAAGTGCTTTGGAGAGCTTGAGGAGAGTGGAGAAGGTTGATAAGAACTGATTCAGGTTGTATGATAGAAAGTGAATTGAGGAAGGTTCAAAGGGTCCAGGGCTGTGCTGGAGCCAGCTCCTATTGGCTCTTGAGAGCAAATTGTTAAATTTTTTAGTATGAGCATTTACACCTCAGAGACTGACCAACACTGCAAATCAGGGCTCGATTTATTGTTTTGTTGATTATCTAGACTTTAAAAAGTGACAGAGAATTGTTAATAATGCACATTAAACTTAGAAGTGTGTTGTGTGACAGTAGGCACTTAATCAATGCTAGTTGACTGACTGTTAGAATTGCTAGATGACTTTTCTGTCTCTACTGAGAACCAAACGAGACAGCTGGCAGCAAACAAGATGCCCCACAGATGTGAGCTTTCTGGCACTAGGGCTGCTGCAGCCACCGGAGTGTGCTACTGAAGGGTCTCTTAAAGTGCCGTTCTCTCAAGCATCTGATCCATCTCAGAGGGCCGAGGGAGGAGAGGAGGCCAAATGATTCTAGAGTTTCTTTGTCGTTCTGGAAAGCTACCCGTGTGAAGTAATCATCACAGTTTGTGTCTGGGGGAGCTGAAGCCCAAAGAAACCAGCTTATCTAAAGCTTCCAAGTAGGACAGGAGGTTGAACAAGGACCAGAACATCTATCTCTGTGTACATATTGTATGGCCATGCACACTCATATGCAGAAGAAAAATAACCAGGCTGGAAATCATGAAGAACTGAAATGCTGCTATTTTTATTTTAAACAATAGTTTTCCTTCCATGTACGGATTCTAGAGGCTCACAGCTCTGTTTTCCCTGCTACTAGTTAATAAAAAGCATCTGTTTTATTCCCCCCCCCGAAAGTGAGGTATGTGTGTGTGTACAGTTTTTTGGGGGGTTGAAATCTGGCTGATTACATTTGCCAGCACACTCCTGGCATGTCCCTCCACATTCAGCAGTCCAAGAATAGAAGCAAATAGCGGGTATGACCCAGGGTAGAAGATTGGCCTGGCGTGCCATTCATGAAGAACAAGGGAAGCAAAACATTCAAAGGTGGAAGATCACATCCTGGAACCGATTAGTTGTAGGTCAAGACTGAAGTGAGGCCAGAAAGGAATGGAAGGCCTAGAGGTCACAGTGAAGGCAGAGGATGCCTTTGGGAGGAGCGAGGCAGTGGGAGAAATGGAAGGATAAGAAATTGATATCAGCTCAGAGAATGTTAGGATTTGGGGCCATGGAGACGAGCCAGTTTTGTGCATTGATGGGTTTGATCCCTGTGGGATAGGGTTAGAGTAGAGAGGTAGGTCATAGTATTTGAAAGTTAGGGACGATGGGTATACTACTGAGCTCTTGGGGAAGTGCTATGGTGACTCATCCATGCTGGGGACTCCATAGTTTGTATGTGTCTTGGGTTGGCTTATGTGCTTATCTGTTGTTTCCATGTAGTAAGCTCCTTGGGGGCAAAGATGGTTTCACTTATATCTTTGTATCTCCAGCACCCGGTACGATGCATGGCGTACAATAAGTGCTTCATAAATGTTTGTTGAATTGAATCGAGAATGAAGAGGAGTTAATGATGACAAATCTTCCTTTATTATCCTCAAGGGATGTACAAATAATACAGAGAGAGGGTGCTGTGGTTCTCTGTGGTGGGAGAAGCAGAGATTAGT